AAAAAATTAGATAAACTTCTTTGTCTATTAAAATATTAGACTGTTAATTCCAATTCGAAAACTTTAAATGAGAAAAAATTAGATAAACTTCTTAGTCTATTAAAATATTAGACTGTTAATTCCAATTCGAAAACTTTATATGAGAAAAAATTAGATCTTAGTCTATTAAAATATTAGACTGTTAATTCCAATTCGAAAACTTTATATGAGAAAATTTTAGAGAAACTTCTTAGTCTATTAAAATATTAGACTGTTAATTCCAATTCGAAAACTTTATATGAGTAAATTTTAGAGAAACTTCTTAGTCTATTAAAATATTTGACTGTTAATTCCAATTCGAAAACTTTATATGAGAAAATTTTAGAGAAACTTCTTAGTCTATTAAAATATTTGACTGTTAATTCCAATTCGAAAACTTTATATGAGAAAATTTTAGAGAAACTTCTTAGTCTATTAAAATATTAGACTGTTAATTCCAATTCGAAAACTTTATATGAGAAAAAATTAGATCTTAGTCTATTAAAATATTAGACTGTTAATTCCAATTCGAAAACTTTATATGAGAAAATTTTAGAGAAACTTCTTAGTCTATTAAAATATTAGACTGTTAATTCCAATTCGAAAACTTTATATGAGTAAATTTTAGAGAAACTTCTTAGTCTATTAAAATATTAGACTGTTAATTCCAATTCGAAAACTTTATATGAGAAAATTTTAGAGAAACTTCTTAGTCTATTAAAATATTAGACTGTTAATTCCAATTCGAAATTTTTATATGAGAAAAAATTAGATAAACTTCTTAGTCTATTAAAATATTAGACTGTTAATTCCAATTCGAAAACTTTATATGAGAAAATTTTAGAGAAACTTCGTAGTCTATTAAAATATTAGACTGTTAATTCCAATTCGAAAACTTTATATGAGAAAATTTTAGAGAAACTTCTTAGTCTATTAAAATATTAGACTGTTAATTCCAATTCGAAAACTTTATATGAGAAAATTTTAGAGAAACTTCTTAGTCTATTAAAGATTTTCTCATATAAACACAATCATTTACAAAAAATTTTAGAGAAACTTATAAACACAATCATTTACAGAAAATTTTAAAGAAACTTCTTAGTCTATTAAAATATTAATTTAGAGAAATTTTAGAGAAATTTTAGAGAAACTTCTTAGTCTATTAAAATATTAGACTGTTAATTTTAGAGAAATTCGCGAGAAACTTCTTAGTCTATTAAAATATTAGACTGTTAATTCCAATTCGAAAACTTTATATGAGAAAATTTTAGAGAAACTTCTTAGTCTATTAAAATATTAGAATGTTAATTCCAATTCGAAAACTTTATATGAGAAAAAATTAGATCTTAGTCTATTAAAATATTAGACTGTTAATTCCAATTCGAAAACTTTATATGAGAAAATTTTAGAGAAACTTCTTAGTCTATTAAAATATTAGACTGTTAATTCCAATTCGAAAACTTTATATGAGTAAATTTTAGAGAAACTTCTTAGTCTATTAAAATATTTGACTGTTAATTCCAATTCGAAAACTTTATATGAGAAAATTTTAGAGAAACTTCTTAGTCTATTAAAATATTAGACTGTTAATTCCAATTCGAAAACTTTATATGAGAAAAAATTAGATCTTAGTCTATTAAAATATTAGACTGTTAATTCCAATTCGAAAACTTTATATGAGAAAATTTTAGAGAAACTTCTTAGTCTATTAAAATATTAGACTGTTAATTCCAATTCGAAAACTTTATATGAGTAAATTTTAGAGAAACTTCTTAGTCTATTAAAATATTTGACTGTTAATTCCAATTCGAAAACTTTATATGAGAAAATTTTAGAGAAACTTCTTAGTCTATTAAAATATTTGACTGTTAATTCCAATTCGAAAACTTTATATGAGAAAATTTTAGAGAAACTTCTTAGTCTATTAAAATATTAGACTGTTAATTCCAATTCGAAAACTTTATATGAGAAAAAATTAGATCTTAGTCTATTAAAATATTAGACTGTTAATTCCAATTCGAAAACTTTATATGAGAAAATTTTAGAGAAACTTCTTAGTCTATTAAAATATTAGACTGTTAATTCCAATTCGAAAACTTTATATGAGAAAAAATTAGATAAACTTCTTAGTCTATTAAAATATTAGACTGTTAATTCCAATTCGAAAACTTTATATGAGAAAAAATTAGATAAACTTCTTTGTCTATTAAAATATTAGACTGTTAATTCCAATTCGAAAACTTTATATGAGAAAATTTTAGAGAAACTTCTTAGTCTATTAAAATATTAGACTGTTAATTCCAATTCGAAAACTTTAAATGAGAAAAAATTAGATAAACTTCTTTGTCTATTAAAATATTAGACTGTTAATTCCAATTCGAAAACTTTAAATGAGAAAAAATTAGATAAACTTCTTAGTCTATTAAAATATTAGACTGTTAATTCCAATTCGAAAACTTTATATGAGAAAAAATTAGATCTTAGTCTATTAAAATATTAGACTGTTAATTCCAATTCGAAAACTTTATATGAGAAAATTTTAGAGAAACTTCTTAGTCTATTAAAATATTAGACTGTTAATTCCAATTCGAAAACTTTATATGAGTAAATTTTAGAGAAACTTCTTAGTCTATTAAAATATTTGACTGTTAATTCCAATTCGAAAACTTTATATGAGAAAATTTTAGAGAAACTTCTTAGTCTATTAAAATATTTGACTGTTAATTACAATTCGAAAACTTTATATGAGAAAATTTTAGAGAAACTTCTTAGTCTATTAAAATATTAGACTGTTAATTCCAATTCGAAAACTTTATATGAGAAAAAATTAGATCTTAGTCTATTAAAATATTAGACTGTTAATTCCAATTCGAAAACTTTATATGAGAAAATTTTAGAGAAACTTCTTAGTCTATTAAAATATTAGACTGTTAATTCCAATTCGAAAACTTTATATGAGTAAATTTTAGAGAAACTTCTTAGTCTATTAAAATATTAGACTGTTAATTCCAATTCGAAAACTTTATATGAGAAAATTTTAGAGAAACTTCTTAGTCTATTAAAATATTAGACTGTTAATTCCAATTCGAAATTTTTATATGAGAAAAAATTAGATAAACTTCTTAGTCTATTAAAATATTAGACTGTTAATTCCAATTCGAAAACTTTATATGAGAAAATTTTAGAGAAACTTCGTAGTCTATTAAAATATTAGACTGTTAATTCCAATTCGAAAACTTTATATGAGAAAATTTTAGAGAAACTTCTTAGTCTATTAAAATATTAGACTGTTAATTCCAATTCGAAAACTTTATATGAGAAAATTTTAGAGAAACTTCTTAGTCTATTAAAGATTTTCTCATATAAACACAATCATTTACAAAAAATTTTAGAGAAACTTATAAACACAATCATTTACAGAAAATTTTAAAGAAACTTCTTAGTCTATTAAAATATTAATTTAGAGAAATTTTAGAGAAATTTTAGAGAAACTTCTTAGTCTATTAAAATATTAGACTGTTAATTTTAGAGAAATTCGCGAGAAACTTCTTAGTCTATTAAAATATTAGACTGTTAATTCCAATTCGAAAACTTTATATGAGAAAATTTTAGAGAAACTTCTTAGTCTATTAAAATATTAGACTGTTAATTCCAATTCAAAAACTTTATATGAGAAAAAATTAGATAAACTTCTTAGTCTATTAAAATATTAGACTGTTAATTCCAATTCGAAAACTTTATATGAGAAAATTTTAGAGAAACTTCTTAGTCTATTAAAATATTAGACTGTTAATTCCAATTCGAAAACTTTATATGAGAAAATTTTAGAGAAACTTCTTAGTCTATTAAAATATTAGACTGTTAATTCCAATTCGAAAACTTTATATGAGAAAAAATTAGATAAACTTCTTAGTCTATTAAAATATTAGACTGTTAATTCCAATTCGAAAACTTTATATGAGAAAATTTTAGAGAAACTTCTTAGTCTATTAAAATATTAGACTGTTAATTCCAATTCGAAAACTTTATATGAGAAAATTTTAGAGAAACTTCTTAGTCTATTAAAATATTAGACTGTTAATTCCAATTCGAAAACTTTATATGAGAAAATTTTAGAGAAACTTCTTAGTCTATTAAAATATTAGACTGTTAATTCCAATTCGAAAACTTTATATGAGAAAAAATTAGATAAACTTCTTAGTCTATTAAAATATTAGACTGTTAATTCCAATTCGAAAACTTTATATGAGAAAATTTTAGAGAAACTTCTTAGTCTATTAAAATATTAGACTGTTAATTCCAATTCGAAAACTTTATATGAGAAAATTTTAGAGAAACTTCTTAGTCTATTAAAATATTAGACTGTTAATTCCAATTCGAAAACTTTATATGAGAAAATTTTAGAGAAAATTTTAGAGAAAATTTTAGAGAATTTTTAGTAGAGTAAACTTGCCCGTCTCTTTTAATTAGAACAGCAACAGGCAAAGGGTTTTTCTTAGCCATTTGTGTCGGGTCGTTTATTAAGTTGTTAAATGTAACGTTTAATTTTTTCTTGTTGTTGGGTTGTTCAGGTGTAAGTATAGGAGGGCGGTCGGGTTTGAGGATTTGGTAATTGCTATTTGCTTCTTTATTTCCGTTGTCAATGTTGGGGGTTGGGTCAACAATTTTAGTTTCCGGTTGTGATGATTCTGTTGTTGGAATATGTTCAATTTCCGTTTTTGGAGAAGCGGGGTCAGAATATTCGGAGGCTAGGGATAAAGTTGGTGAAGGGGGATTTTGAGTAATTTTATTGGGGTCGTTCAGATTTAAATGTTGCATGATGATTTCAATGGATGTTTTGGGTTTTATTTTAGATTTAGGCATACAGCTATTCTTTCCTTTTAAAAAGCTTTAAAAAATGGTAAGTTTTAATAAATGATTAAATTTAAATTTTATTTACAAATTTTATATAATATGTACAATTTTAATGTATTTCGTTTATTTTAATGCGTGGGGCTTAATTGCGACGCTATTTGGCGCAGGGTTTGCAGTTCAATGCTAGTAAGGGGAGGATTTTGCTCATTATTACTTTCCTCCCGATGATTTGTATTTTTAAATTTTTTGTACAGCTTCATTATGTAGTGTGTGGTTAGCAAAAGTATCGTTATTCCGAATAAGCCAATGGAAGTTAATAGAATGGCGCTGATATCTGGGTTTTCCAGGAAGTAGGAAGCAAGGTAATCTAAGCCGATAAAGGCGGCGGAAGAAGCAAGAATACTGGCAGAAGTTTTACCCGTAAATTTTGCAGCCTTACGGAAGTTGTGACTGCTAGAGCGTATTTTGTATTTTCCCGCTTCAATAATTGGTGAGCACATAAGAATTAATAGGATTATAGCCATTAGCGTTGGAGGTGGGGTCCAATGGTTTCGGACCTTGGGACGAGAAAGCTTCTTAATTTTTATAATAATTAACGTAGAGACGCAAGTAAATATGCAAGCTAATATAATAATAAACATTAAGAATGAATAATTAAATTTGTTTTCGTTAATGGTTATGAAGAAATTGTTTGAAATTAATTCCAAAGAAAATATAGAGCCCATAATAATTTTAAGATGGCTGGTTAAAACTAAAAATGTAGGTGAGAAATTAAAATGTAAATGAGAGAATAAAAGGCAAATGTGAGAGAAATTGTTTTATTTTTATAAAGGCGAGGACTTTATTGTTTAAAAAGTTTAAAGTTGTTTTTGTAAATATTTTCAATGTAACTTATCTTTTATGTGTGCACGACTGTCCCATCTGCCTCAATGTTGGGGGAAGAGCAATTTCTTTCTTTGCTTTCATTTTCTGTCTCTAGTGGTAGGAGGTGGTGTACACTTCGTTCAATGAAACGACCCTTCCCCAGAGCAGAGACAATTCTTACTTTAGCTTTATCGGGCTGGTTGTAATAATTTTTAAATACTTCGATTATAATCCCAATAGATTGCGGAAGGTTTTGGTCGGCTATCAGCACTAAATCTCCAATGTTTGGTTTTCTTTGCTTCTTTGGTGTGATTTTCTCATACCTTTCCCGCAACACCGCTAAATAGTCATTTTTCCATTGAGACCAAAAATATTTTGCTGCATAGCAAAGCTTAGACCAAAGATTTAATAAGTGAGATGGGTCGCTGGGAGGCAAAGGGTTATAGTTAGGATCGTTGATATCATCTACGTCTGGGAATGGTATGGGTTGAATTTGCCATAATGGTTGTAAAAAGTTTAAAGGGCAAAGCGGAAGTGGATCGCTAGGATTGGATTTGTCATACGTTATCGGCCTGCAGTTTATTACTGTAGAAATTTCTTGAATGCACGTACGTAAAGAATTTAGAGGTGCAATTTTTGGAAAAATGCCTTTTGAGAGTGCTCTTTTTAAATGTTGTTTAATGGTGGCCATATAACGTTCATAATATCCACCTTTCCATGCCGCCATCGGACAGCGGAAATTAAATTTTATAGCGCTAAACTTTGGGTCAGATTGCGCGGCGTGGGACGCCAGTACTTTTTTGGCATGTTTAAATGTAGGTGCGGAATCACAGAAAATAGTTTTTGGATCGTAATTTGCAAAAAATCTTCTCAAAGTTTCAAAAAATGACTGTGTAGTAAGGTCGGGGTCCACGTCTAAATAAATTGCACGAGTAACGAGACAGACAAAAACAGCTATCCAAACTTTATTTTTCTCGCACTTTTTATTATAACGCCTTGCTGTGGCACTTTTGGCGGTAAATTCGGAATATGTGTGTACATAAACAGGACCGCAGAAGTCTAATCCCACAAATGTAAATGGGGGTGCAGGATTGACGCGTTCCGTAGGGAACGGCGGAAAATTTGGCAAGTCGAATGGTTTCGCAGTGAATTTTCGACAGGTAAAGCATAATTGGTGCAAAACGTGTGTCACCGTTCTTCGGCCTGAGGTTATCCAGAATTTGCGCCTTATCGTTGAAAGTGTTTGATTAGTGCTAGCGTGTTGCAACAGGAGGTGCGTTTCGTAGATTATAATTTTTGTGAGTTCAGATTTAGACGGTAAATAAATAGGTGCTTTTGCTGACGGGGATAAGCAACTTTTAGTTAGACGGCCTTTACACCGCAGCAATTCGTTTTCGTCTTTATATATTCCTAAAGCCGAACCAATAGATTCATTTGGTGGCGCAATATTTTGTTCAATTTTTATGAGAGTAATAATAGCCGCATTAATTTCGTTTGGAGTAATTTTAAGAGAAGGAGAAAAGAAACTTTTAAAAAGGCCTTCTTTTTTGTTTTTAATTTTTGCAATAAAACGCAAGGTGTAAGCGGTTACTCGGAGTAATTTGGGCAAGCGAGAGTAGCGAGAGATGTTAATAAATGATTCTGTTTGCGTTACTGTATTGCAAAAGGAGAATATTTCTTTTTTAGGGCTATTTTCCAAATTAATTTTAAAATTTTCAGAAGAGAAATTTTTTACGAATTTATGTGTAGGCCAGTCGTTGGACAACAACCATAAGGGGCCATGCCAGTACATTTTGTTGTTTTGAAAGGAGTTGACGTCATTTTCTCCACGACTTGCCAAATCTGCAGGATTAGAGTCGCCTGTGACATGTCCAATTTCTAAATAATTTGTTTGTCGTATTTCTTTAATTCTGTTGTTTACAAACACATCATTTATTTGTTCATCATTATTGAGCCAATTTAAAACAGTCGATGAGTCAGTCCAAAGAAAGAGCGTTTTATCTAGATTAATTGAAAAGGAGAGCTGTTTTTTAAGAAAATTTAATGCGCGTACTCCTATCAAAACGCCTAATAATTCAAGACGTGGTATAGTATAAGGGCACTTTTTTGATTTTGTTTTAGGTTTGACTTTTGTTTTGCAAAATATTAAATTAGATTCAATTATATTTTTAGTTTGGTCAAAGGAACGGAGATATATAGTGACTGCAAAGGCTATTTGGGAAGCATCAGTGAATGCGTGTAGTTGAAATTTAATATTTTTTGAGTTGAGAGAAAAGCATTTGCGAGGAAAGGAGATTGTGGTAGATGTCCAATTTTTAATTATTTTTGCCCATTCAATTTTTGCAGTGGCAGGAATTTCTTCGTCCCAAGTTAAGGCTGGAGTTATAGCCCATAAAGATTGCATAAAAATTTTAATAGGGAGAAGTAGCGGGCCTAATAAGCCCAAAGGGTCGTAGTGTGATGCCAAAAATGCAAGGATTTGCCTTTTATTAATTTTTTGTTCAGTGAATGGATTTAATGCCAAGGAAAGCTCATCCATGCTTGTATCCCATGAAATCCCTAGAAATTTTTGTTTAATGCCTATTAATTTATAAGAGTTTGGCAAATGTTCAATCGCTTTTTCTTCATTACTGGCAAATTCTCTGAGGGGCATTGATGCTTCATTAAAAATATTTATAGCTTCCAAACACTTTTGTTTAGCCTCGTCAATTTTTATAGCGGAGAATAATATGTTATCGACGTATATATTTTGAGCTATTTCTTTTGAAAGGGTATTTTTGTATTGATTTAGGTGATGGGTTATAGTCGCGGCCAATAAATAAGGACTGCAAGTAAGGCCAAAGGACACCCTGGTGAACCGATAGCATTGAATGTTTTGACTGCTAAATGGCTTGTATATAGTTTTTAGCCAGAGGAACCTGTTCGCATCTCGATGCTCAGGTGTTATTCTAATTTGCAGAAAGGCTTTTGCAATATCGCAGACAACGACTATTTTTGGCAGCCTAAATCGTAGAAGAACGCCTATCAAATCATTCATGAGCATGGGGCCTGGAAAGAGCAAATCGTTTAGTGAAGGGGAATTTTTCGATTCTCGTGCCGAACCGTCGTAAACTATACGCAATTTATTTTTGTCAGCCTTAAAGACGGGTTGATGTGCCAAGTAATGCAAGGGAGAGGAATGAATTTTTATGTCTTTTACCTCCTCTATTATGCCCAAATCTAATTGCTCTTTTATTATGGAATCATATCTTTTCAAATTTTCGAAATTTTTATTCAAGGAATTTATGGTTGAACGTAAACGTCCCCATGCTAAGCCGAAGTTTGAGGGGAGAATAATTTCTTTAGGGTCGCTGCGGAAAGGCAAGTTTACTTCATATCTGTCGCCCACCTTTTTGATTGTTTTAATAAAATTCCTGTGTACAGCATCACCTTCCAATTTCTCGTCAATTTTGGGCTCAGAAATGCCAATATTTTCCAATGAGAAGAATTGGTTTATTTGTTGACCACAGTTGCTGTTTGGGTCAGAAATTGTGGCATTAGTAAAGTAAGAATTATGATTTTTGTAAATTGATTGTCGTCTCGGGTTATTTGTCTTGCACTGTGATTTGCCAGCTATTAGGGGGCTTAATAATGTTTGTACTAAATGATACCCGTTCGGCAATTTTGAGACAGGAATAGGTTCAATATCATAGTATATATCACTACCCAAAAGTACTATAGGAGATTTCCACTGTATTAATAGTTCAGCGGGTATGTTTTCTGGCGACATTTGTTGTGGATGCAATTTTGCCATAGGTAAAGGGTGGGTGAGGAAATTGAGCGTAGTAGCAGAAATGTTAAGCGTGCGTCCGTTAATTAATTGTATGCCAAATTGAGTAGAATAAGCCGGGGATTGGGTGCAATTTTGTTGGTTAAAAACCCCTATTTGAATATTTATTGGATTAAGGTTTAATTTTAAAGCTTGAGCGGCACTAGCCAAAATGTAAGAATTAGTACTTCCATCATCCAATAAGCACGGTACCGTTATGTTTAAATTAGGGTTATTAGGGTTAAATATTTTTCCAAAAACGCATTTTAGCAGTACCGGATAAGCAATTGAGGAGAGAGTACTAATCGAATTCGCAGGCGTCTGCTGAAGTGCATGGGCAGAAAATTCGTCAGCCCTTTTTAATTCTAATCCAATTTCGTTGGAAGTGCCCTGAATATTATTGGTAACCGGTAGGGTAATTTGATTATTATTTTTTGCAGGGTTTTCAGTTACGTAATTGTTGAACCGATTATTTGCTGGATTGTTATATTTTTTAGCTTGCGATGTGGAGTTATTGGGCGTAAGTTGGGCATTTTGGTTAGTATTGCTTTTGGAAAAAATTTTACTGCAAAGGGGGCGCGGGTGGTTGCCTTGACATTTTCTGCAGGTGGACGGTTTCGGGCAATCACGAAAATTGTGTCCCGCTTGTAAACATTTTCCGCACCTATTCAATTCTCGCAAACGTCCAATGCGAGATTTGAAGTCCGTATAGACATCGCAGAATGTTGTTATATGGCTTAAATTATTGCAAAAAAGGCATGGCAATCTCGAATTGGCATTATTATTTTTCTGTTGCGTAGTTTGGCTAGTGAAATTGAATGCAGAATT